TGGACACAGCCCTGGAGGTCCCTCAGCAGTGCCAGCACAGGGGGACAGTCCCTGCCCTGGGGCTGTGCCCACAGTGGGGCTGGCACAACCCAGGGGCCATTGGCCACCTGGGCACGCCTGGGCTCATGTCCAGCCTCTGTCACCAGCACCCTCAAGGCCTTTTCCAGCTTTCCAGTCCCTCTGTCCCAACCTGGAGCATTCCGGGGGTTGTGGTGACCCAAGGGCAGAAGCCAGCCCTGGGCCTTGTTTACCCTCACCTTGTTGGCCTCAGCCCATCAATCCAGTCTGTCCAGATCCTTCTGCAGAGCCTTCCTGCCCTCTGGCAGATCCCCATCCCACCCCACTCGGTGTTGTCATTGAACTCACTGAGGGTGCCCTTGATCCCCTCGTTCAGGTCATCGATGAAGATGCTCAGCAGGACCAGCCCCACACTGAGCCTTGGGGAACCCCAGCAGTATCCACCCCACTGGATGTCTCCCCATTCCCACCCCTCCCTGTATCCAGCCATCAGCCAGGAGCTGTCCCAGCCTGGGGCTGCAGGAGCTCCAGGAGAGCCAGAGGAGATGGCTTTGCTGAGCTCCAGGCAGACACACCCACACCCCTCTCACATCCACCGGATCACCTGGGCACAGCAGATCAGGTGGGTCAGGCAGGACCTGTGTTTCCCAACCCCAGCTGGATCTGATCCCTGGTTGTCCTGTCGGTGCCGTGGGATCCCCCCAGGGTGATCTGTTCAGGGCCTTCCCAGCATCCAGGGCAGGGACAGCCTGGACTTCCCTGGATCCTCCTCCTGGCCCTGCTCGGGGAGGGGGTCACTGGGCACCTCCAGGGCCTGGGACCCCCCGGGGGGCAGGGGCTGTGAGGAATGATGGGGAGGGTCCAGGCGAGCTCTGTTGCTGTCTGGGTTCCCCCTGGGGTCTGGGCCTGAGGGGAGTGGTGGGAGCAGCTCCAGGACCCCCCCACAGCCCCCATGGTGGCCCCAGGGGTCCATCAGGCCCAGGGACCTGTGGGGTCTGAGTGGCTCAGCAGGTCACTGACCCAGTCCCCGCCCCCAGTACAGACCAGTCTGACCCAGTATGAACCAGCATGACCCAGTCTCCACTCCACTATAGCCCAGTTTGGCACAGTACAGATGAGTATGATCCAGTACAAATACAGATCCGTCCAACCCAGTCCCCGCCCCCAATATAGATCAGTCCAACCCAGTCCCTGCTACCAGTATGGACCACTCTGACCAATACAGACCAGTCCATCCCTGTCCCCATTCCCAGTTGAGACCAGCCCATCCCGTCCCCACTCCCAGTCTGTCCCAGCCCGTCCCCGTCCCTGCAGAAGGGTCAGTGCTGGCAGAATGCCCAGGCTGGGCAGCGCCCGTGGTGCCACCGAGCTCCAGGCACTGTCCCTGTCCCTGCTCGGCCTGGCACTGCCGGGGGGGCCCAAGGACATGGGGG